TCGATAGCACAAACAATAAATTAATTTTGGTGTCATGGATCGGAGAATCTTTTCAACTATGACCACATCTTCTGTCTTATCACCGTGAATCCGCATCTTATGCATGATAGCCATTGTGCGAGAGAAGTAATCAGTCACTGATTCTCCCGACTTCATTCGAAGTGTATCGAACTCCGTACGAAGGGCCTGTAGCTGCTGCCTCTTTGCTCTTGTAGAACCTTGGTATTTCTTCCTCATGGAATCCCAGATGTGTATGGAGGTGTCCTTGCAAAGAATGGTTTCCAAGATTGAACGATCGATTGCTTGGAAAAGGTAGTTTTTTGCTTTAAAGATCTTTTAGCCGCAACACTTTGAGGTCTGCTTTCTGCTGGGTTGACAACGTTGTGCCGATTGTTGGTTCATCTATCCCAGATTCAACAATCTGCCAATATTCTTTAGATCGTAAAAAATTCTCCATTAACATGCTCCAATGATCATAATGACCATCGAAGCGTGGGATTGCCGGTTGAACAAAATTTTCTGATGCCATTGTTCAGTACTTGCTGCTGCAAACTAAACAATTAAAACTTTTGGGTGGTTTACTCTCAACTGTGGATCTCTCGACTTCCCCTCTCTCTCCCCTATTTTTTTCACACACTAACCTCGCTCTGGTACCACTGATAATTATTTAAAGCAACATGGAGAAAGAAATTACAGAGGGTCTTGAGGAAGAAAGAGTTTACTGCTATATTTTGTTCATCGAGAAATCATCTCTAAACAGGCAAAACTACAACGGAAAATACCAAGAAAATAGCTAACAACTTTTGACTGCTAAATGACTAAATCAAAACTAATCTCCTATAGAATAGGACAAAGTTAAACCAACTAAATATTGACCAAATCTTTCAACATAACTTTTATACGTACATAGAGTAGTTTCGAAAATTTAAATCGAATCGAGAACTGAAATCTCATATTTCTCAGAACTTATTCAAGAAACATTTTTCAAATAAATCGGAAGTGATAATTTATTTCCAATTTTGTTATTAAGAAATTCGAAAACAATAATGAGTTTTTTCGGCTGTTTTTTAGTCCATCTATAATATAAAATAAACAACGAGATTGATATTTGAAGTGTAATACATAATTATTTTTGAAAATTGAAATCTCGCATTTTCCGAAACTTAATCCAAAAATATTTGAAAATTTTGGAAATCATAATTATTGAAACATGGAACAAAAATAACCAAATGCCAATAAATAACTGATTTATTCCATAAATAATCAAAGAACAATAGCCAAGTCGTTAATTCTACAACGAGGATTTTTCATTGGTTCAACTTCAACTTCCGACCGCGAGTTGTGCTGATTTTGCCGAAGCTTTCAATACAACAAGTGTGTGCTCGTTGAATTTGCGAAATAATGAACTCGAAGAATCGACTTTGATTTTCTAAACTTGTTACCAAGAAGATTACCCAGAATGGACGGACGCTGACCCGATGTCATCTGATGCATTTTACGTGGAATGATGTGGTTATCCATAATCATTATCTCCAACAATTGCCTGCAGCTCTGTAAAAAGCAATTCAATTTTGGCTTATTAGCACTTTGAATGTAGATCCTCGACATTAGTTTATTACAAAATACTATCGCACAAAGACCAATATCTTCGGGAAATAATTAGGTGAGCAGCGATTTCTAGCAAAGGTGATTAGATTGAATTATTTACGAAGAAAAAAAAAAAGCCGAGCACAAGAAAGCAAAGTCAAAATCCCAATTGGGAGAAACTTTTCTCTTTGCATACCTAAGGCTAAGGATGCCATCTGCCATCCTGTAGATAAATACACGATGTACATAGTATTCCGTTAATTTTTAATTAAAAAAACGAACTGAAAAATTAGGAAAAAGCTGATTAAGTTATACCACATGTACCAATAACAGCTCGATTGTGTACGAAGATTTCATATCTCTAATATTCCTGGATTCTGCATCACAATAGAAAGAACACGGCGAACGAGCCCCTTGTACACAAGTTCATTTACTATACCATCTCCATTCATCCAGGGTAAGACTTTGCACGCAATTCGTTTAGCCCGATGTCACGGAGTTGAATCAGCGTGCGGCACTTAGCCTCGAATTAATGCTGATCGTGCTTATTCGAACTTTTACCCCTCGCAAACAAGTTAAGTCGTCCTCTCGGGAAAGTGCACAAGTGTGTGTGCATTTGCTTAAGAAAGAACTTGAGTGTTGAAAAATGCTAAAAAATGCTTTATTAATTGTATTCTTGGATGATTACAAATGAATGCGGTTATCCCTATTTATATAAATCCATCTTTTCAAAGAACAGTGGCGATCATTATGATCTAACATCTAAGAGCATCTTCTACGATTTTCTACCAAATATATCAACGTAAGAATTCTAGAAGATCCTCTAAAGACATTTACATACAAAGGAGGATTCTAAAAGATCTTCTAGAATCCTCTAAAAATCTCTACACTTGGACCTGGTTGGACCATCTTCCCTTGAGCTTCCTTGATGGATCAACCTTAGCTAGCACATTGGCTCCATGGAAAAATGGGCGGCCCTTGACATTCACCCCCACCTAATTCGGCTACGTCCTCATTGTCTCAAATGCCTCGATGATGTCCGCGAACTGCCACAAATTTTCTTTGGGTTTCCACGTCATCTCGGATTTGGGCAGTCCCTTCCACTTGATTAATTATCATGTGCTCGGTTGCACACCTCGTCAGCGAACGCCATGTCTCCCAAGCACCGCTTCCACTTCCTTGTCGTAAGACTCGATTACCACGGATTGTGCTCAATGTGAATACCCTCAGCTTGCGCTTCCCACCCTCGTAATATGGCTTGAGCATCCTCATTTAACTAAAAAATAAACAGACTTTACTTTATTTATTGAAAAATACTATATTTTGAAATAGTGTATCCAAATCTGTTATTTTTACTCACATTTGCCATCTGGGTTAATATTCTTGTAATGAAACCCATTTGATAATCAAATCAAGCTGCACAATATATATTTAAAAAAAAAAAAAAAGCTTATTTACTTACTGTTCAAATAAAGCACAAGGAACACATAAATTAACTTGATATGATTGATTAAACAATCAATTGATACATTTGTACTCGCTTAATTCAAGATAAAGATACATGAGCTTCAAAATAGCCATCCATTTAAAAATTTAGGAAGCCACCATTTGCTTTTCTTGTGCATACACAAAGGAATCAGACCAACCCTAATAAAATTATTTATTGAACAGAGAATATATTAATAATTAATCAGTTAAAAAGACCCTATAAATAAGCCACCACCGACAAATACTAATACACATCAAATCTTCTCATAGAATTCTTCCCTAATGTGCAGCAAGAACAGCTCCAGCAAAAGCAGCAGTAGCCGATGGAGACGAAGAACTCATATTCCCTCCACCATTAAAATCCGAGCCCGCCCCAAACATACTAATCGTCGAAATCTGCCTCACAAATTTCGTAAAGCTAGCCCAATTCCTCGACTCGAACAAATTCCTGTCCATTCTGACGAAATTAAAAGAAAACGAAGGATTATCCAATCCATCCGAGTAGAACTTGGACATCTTCACCACCTGCTCGAACGAGCCGCCGTCCAGGTTCGTCGAACCATTCTCCCCCTCTAACGGTACGTCGCATATCCTAGCTGCAAGCACAATCTGCTCGACCAAACCCTCGGGCCTACTCGAGGGATTTATCCTTCGCTTATCGGAATCCTGCATCTCGAAACACGCACAGCACACAGTGAAACCGTACCTGCCGAACATGCGTATGATGGGTGTGTACCCGTCTCTCACCGTGGTGCTGTAGTACCCGGAAGTTAATGGGTGGGCCCCGACCAATTTTCCGGACCTGTTGACT